ACAGGACTACGCTCTCACACTGAAATGTCCACACCCCAGGGATCACTCAGCTACTTAGAGGTAAATGAGAACATCAGTCCTCCTATCACAGTTCGAAACCCCTTGATTAAAATCAGATTGAGTCTCCTGAGGAAAGACCCTACAGTAGAGATTATTCTAAAATATTTCTCCAGGCCCTCTTCCAATGCGATGCGCTCACACTAGGGTGGTAGAAGGACTCAGACATTTAAGCATTCTCTGCCGATTCTGAGGTGGTTTGATTTCTCCAAACCTCAAGTTGTGTTTTAAATCAAGCATCACAATGAACAAAGACTTCCAGCGATAAATGTAGATTTGCTCCACGTCCTTCTGGAGATGGGACTCAGTTGGGGCCTGAGCAATCAGCACCCGGCCTGCCCTGGAGTTCCTCCTGCCTTGTGAAGTCCAGAGAAATAGGAACGGTCAAGTGAAGATCCCTGGACAGGAACTTTATCACTTTAAGGAGAAAAGGCATATACATAAAATATTTCAGAGCCAAACATCATTCCTCAGCTGTTGTCTGTTGCAAAATTAGACAAGTCGTTAAAATGATTGGCCACTAGTGTTTAAATAAGCAGTGAGTGCAATGGGGGCTGCGGTAACTGTGTATATTTTGATGGCTAATCTGGGAACATATTTTCCTCCAGACAAGTCACCAAAATGATGAGCACAGTGGGCTTCCTCTAGGAGAGGCAGTAATACTATCCCATCATCTTCACTCAGGGATGGATAGCTCTCTCTTAGTACTAAAATTTAGAAAGCAGAACCGTGAGCCGCTCAACATTCTTTAGAACATAATTTTTCTCCGTGTATTACTCTGATTGTCCCGGCTGAGTGGGTCAGGGAAAACACCCCGTATGTGTTTGTCAGACATGCGTTTAATTTTTATCCTTGATTTGAGAGAAAGAGTAACAGAGAGAAAGGAAGAACATAGAAAGAGAGGTTTTCCAGCTTCTGCCTCACTTCCCAAATGGCTACATTGTCCAGGGCTGGGCCAGGTCAAAGCTGGGAGCTTTCCAGTCTGCCATGTGGATGGGAAAGTTCAGGCAGTTGGGTCATCCTTCACTACTTCCCATGCACAATGGCAGGAAGCTGGGTTGAAAATGGAGTTGCCAGGAGCTGAATCAGCAACCAGCAGGAGCAGTTTAACAAGACATGTCATAGCACCATTCTCTCTCTCTCTCTCTCTCTCTCTCTCTCTCTCTCTCTAATACATTGTTGGGCTTTTTGGTTTTGACTGGGACTTGAACCACTGGCTCTCTGATTCTCAGCCTTCCAGGCCCTCCAGTCTGTAGATGGCAGATTGTGGGTCTTCCCGAAACTCCATCATGATGAGAGCTAACCCTTCTTAACAAGTCTCCAGGGCCCGGCGCGGTGGCGCAAGTGGTTAAAGGTCCTCGCCTTGCACGCCCGGGATCCCATATGGGCGCCGGTTCTAATCCCGGCAGCCCCGCTTCCCTTCCAGCTCCCTGCCTGTGGCCTGGGAAAGCAGTTGAGGACAGCCCAAAGCTTTGGGACCCTGCACCCGTGTGGGAGACCCGGAAGAGGCTCCTGGCTTCGGATCGGCATAGTATCGGCCCGTTGCTCTCACTTGGGGAGTGAATCATCGGACGGAAGATCTTCCTCTCTGTCTCTCCTCTCTGTATATCTGCCTTTCCAATGAAAAAATAATAAAAATAAATCTTTAAAAAAAAAAAAAAACAAGTCTCCAGTGATCCTAGTGGTTTCTCGGGAGAGTACAACTAGTATGTGGAAAATGAAATGAAAATACTTGATTTTGGTGCAAAATTTGCAATCCATGTCTTTAAAATAATTTTTACGATTGTTAAAATTTTTAATCAAAACTTGAAATGCACCGGTAACACATGATATCTCAGTGTATGCATGCATAACAAAATATCCGAGCTGGGTAAACATGTGTTTATCTTCATTTACCCCGAAGTTTTGGATGAGTGCTAGTATAATCTGTTAACTCAGCATTTAGATCTTCCATGGGTCTCTCTCTGTTTCTCTTGCTGTCTCTTTCTCATCAATAAATATTTCCTCCTGGAACACTGGCTGAACATGATAGGCACAGCATTTTAGAGATAATATGGGGGTAATTTTATTCCTTTTCTCCAGTTTTTTTTTTTTAATTTCTGATTCCGGAAGACGGCACAGCATTCAGTCATTTGATCACTGCCTCTGTGTGTTTTGTCCTCCCCCTGTTATTGCAGGGTATAACTTTTTGGAAAAACTAATTGGAAACTTGAGACGTTTCTCAGCGCCTTTAATCATTTTTGCAGTTTTTGCCTCGTTCTGTCCCCTAAGACCGCTGGCAGCTCTCTTACTTACACGGGCTGGCAGCTGTTTGGAGAATCACCAGATACAGTACCAATTTTCAGGTTCACTTTGCAGCATTTCGCTTTCATCCGGTGCTGAGGAACCTGCGGTCTTTTGTCGGTAGCTCGAATGCCTGCAAGCAAACACTTTCAATATTTTGTCCAGCTTTTGTAGTTGCTCTTGGCAGAATGTTTAGAACTTTAAAAAATGTTTTCACCATTACCATAGGAAGAGAATCCTGTTTATTCAGACCAGGTCCCTTCTCCATGTGATTATCATGAAAGTATCTTGATTTCTGAAGACAGAAATTCACCTCAGGTTAGATGGAAGCGCTGCTTTGTGTGATGAATTAAAACACAGGAATGAGGATGTTGCTGACTGACAAAGTCGGCACCCAGTGTCTATTCGATGTTTCTGTTGGCTCACTCTCTCGCTCTTGCAAAAGAAAGAGAATATTTTTCATACTGGATTTTTTCTATCTCTCCTGTCAGTTCTTCTCATCTTTTTATTTAAGATTTATTTACTTTTATTGCACAGGCAGATTTACAAAGAGGAGAGACAAAAATTATCTTATCGCGGGTTTGTTCCCCAAGTAGCCTCAATGGCCAGAGCTGAGCCAATCCGAAGCCAGGAGCCAGGAGCCTCTTCCGGGTCTCCCACACGGGTGCAGGGTCCCAAGGCTTTGGCCCATCCTCGGCTGCTTTCCGAGGCCACAGGCAGGGAGCTGGATGGGAAGTGAGGCTGCCGGGATTAGAATCTGTGCCCATATGGGATCCCGGGTCATACAAGATTAGGACTTTAGCCACTAGGATACTGTGCCCGGCCCTCTCATCTGATTTTGACAGGAAGTGGTAGTGAGAAAACCATAAGCAGCATTGGAAATGGAAATAAAAACTTTCATCTTTTTTCTTTTGGAGACATATCACGGCTGCAATAGGGTAATCCCACTTCTTTCTGCTTCGCTGCAAGAGAGATGATTCTGCCTGCTCTTTCATGTCTCTGGATTGACGTCCATAAATTAGAAGATTTCTGTCTTCTCTGTTTAACTGATTCTGTGCCTTATGTACTAATACATAAATCTTGCAAAATAAAATCTGTGAATGATGTAGCAACAATGAGATTAAAGTTAGAAAGAGCATAGATTAATGTTATGTCATATGATGAAGGCTTCATTTAGGAAAATAAATCTCCAAGATCACCACCAGATTGGATTAAAAATAAATATTGGCTTTATGCTTGTGAAATAATCTTTCAGAATTGACATATCACATACAAATAAAAATTAAAGTTAAAACTGAATTATGTGAGAATAAATGAAAGAAAAAAATCCAATGGCACTATTAGCAACAGAATAATCGAATAAAATATCAAATAGAAAAATAATTGCCTAGGGCTTACATTAACATTAGTCAAATTTCAAAACTGCAGAGTGTACAAAATACATGTGATGATATTAAGATATTATGATAAAAGGACGGTCTGGCAAAGCAAGAGAATGGGAGAATGAGAGAAAAAGTAAGAGTATGTGGCTAAAATCAATCGTTACAATTAATTGAAATTTGTTTTTCCCAAAAACTGAACACACTTACCAAATATTTACAACCCATTACATAAGAACACCTATCCTTTTTGAGTATTCAGAAATACTGTATCTTAGGCTCAATGGGTACACCACGTCTAATTGACTTGTTATGAGATATTAATTTTGTTGACTTAAGACACAAATAGCATGGCTCCAGGGGAGCAGCTACACATTGCTTGGGAAGTTGGTACTGAATGCTCCATAGAGTGTTTTCCAACGATGCTGTATGCAATGTCATATCCGCCCTTAACACAGTGACTTCTAGAATCTCATTGCCTGATATTGATACCTGCAATAGGTTTTTTTTTTCCTAGAAAAATTAGTAGATTACAGTCAAGAAATAGAAATATAGGCCTGTGGCTTCAAAATCAACTTTCTATGCAATAAGAAACTAATATTGCAGAAAAGGGACTAACAGTCTGTGGAATTGCTAGGAATAGTGTTAACGTGGTGAGCAAGTCATCATCTGTAATCATGGGATGAAGTGTCCATTTGTAACGACAGCTGAAAGGCCAGTGAGTGCTATGGAGGCAACCAAAGCATACTTTTTCAGGTAGAGTTTCCTTCTAACTCTGCTATGTAGTTTAAGGAGTAAAATATGACAAGCAAAAGGGTAGTTCAACACATTGTCACAAATCAGGCAATAACCATGACTGCCCCCAAATAACTTTCTGTGTCATGAGGGAAAAAATGAAATTACTGAGGGTATGATGCACGATTCTAGAATAACTTTTAGGATGGTGAGCACCATAAATTCACAAACTCTCTAGCTATCTCCTGTGGAAACGTGGACAAAAGCCACGTAAAAGTGTCCCTACATGAAAATGGGCAAAATGAACAAAGAAAAGCAAACAAACAAAACTTGCAGGAAGGCAGAAATCCCCCAAACCGACAAGTCATATGGCTTAAGAGAGAAATTCAGAAATGATATAAAAAATGGAGAATAAGTGACACAGTTTAAACTTGTAGATGATATGGCTTTTACCTTTAATATGCCTGGGAAATTTACACACAACAGGATTAACAATTTCTAATTAGCAAGCATTTTAGTAAAATTAAGATTTTAAAAATTACTTTCGTGCTTGCTTCAGCAGGACATATACTACAATTGGAATGACACAGAAAAGATGAACATGGACCCTGTGCAAGGCTGACATGCAAGTTCATGAAGCGTTTCATGTTAAAATATTTTTCTAGTCATTAATAATTCAAAAAATTAAAATTAAACAAGTAATTTTCAACAGCCTTCAAAAACACTACTCAGCAATTCAGTTGAAAACAACAGAATATTTGCAAAATAAAATAAAGATACTGAAATACATTTAGAGACATTCTGTGGTCATGGTTTGCAAGATTTAGCAATATTAATTTCAATAAAAATGAAATCTCACCTTTCCAGAAATTTTGACACTTAGTTCTAAATTCATTGGGAGACTCAGGTAACTCAGAATAGGCAAAACTGTATTTACCTGTCCATCAAATCCAGAGGATTCACTGAAGAGTGACCAACCCAGCCTGTCTATAAGTATGGGTTGATACACTGGAATAGAATTTGCAGTCTAAAGTATAAAGCTTGTTTCTAGCCATCTGACCCACTTTCAAAGCTTTTTGTTCATTTATTTTATTTGAAAGTGAGGGGTACACACTAAGGGGCTGCAGAGTAAGCCCTTTTCTGTGTTCATAATCCTCTACCAGCTCTTGAGGGTGGGGTGCTGCCTGTGGCTCTTGCCCAGCTTCCTCCTGCTGTGTCTGGGATGATAAAGAGATGGCCTAAGCTGGCTCTCAGCCACCCACATGAAGATCCACTGGGAGTTCCTGGCTGCTCCATTTTCCAGCTGGCCCTGCCTTGTCTGTTGTGATATCTAGGGAGTGAAGCCATGAAAGGAAGATCTCTTTCTATGTCTTGTTCTGTCTTTAAGGCTCTGCTTTACAAAGGAATCAATATATCATTTTAATGAGGCATTGAGACAGATTTAAAACTTGACATGGAAACACAGATCTGCCATATAGTATATTTACTTTAAGAAAAACTGTAGCAAATAAGCAATAGTTTGTCAAGCAGAATTATAAAGCAACATATAGCTTCAAATTATCATCACTAATGTATGAAATTGAACAATATGGAAAGGTATATATAGATATTTCATATTGATAATTCAATATACCGATAATTTAATGAAAAATGGCAAAATAAACCATAGTAAAAAAAAAAACCCTAAAAGTATTTCCATAAGAAAGATTTACAGTGGTTCTATTTTTATGTTTTTATGTTTTCTTTATTAAGCATACTTTACACATATTATAGGCACATATATATTATTGTTTGTATATAAGCTTCATATTTTAGTATAAGTTTTCTACAAATTATTCTTGATAATTTATATAATGTAATATAATAAACAAAGACATTTTTGTTCACATTTGAAACCATTAGGGAAATCCATTCACTGTTCAGCTCTAAATCCTTAAGCTCATCCTAACCTGACATGTTTGAATGTGTTCAGTGATATTTTCTACAGAATATAATGGTTATTACATTAAAGATAGTCAGCAGGGGATTGCCTTGAAAGGGCGAATGTAGGTAATGCTATTCTTGTTAACCAGAGCCATTTGTGGCCTGTTTTTTGTTCTTACTACGTTATGCTAAGTATAAGAAATTACTGTGCATTGTGGAAACAACTGGCTAAACTACTGCTTAAATACAATAATTTTATAGTGATGATTAAGCTTACCCATATGTTTGCTTCTCTTTAAAATATGCGATAGGGAAGCTTATAGCCACAGATGGATGGAATTTAAGATGAAGTTATTATAGAGATTGGTATTACTTTCTTTCTTATAACACCATTTCTGCACCTGATTCCAAAGCAAACCTTTAGTTATTAGCATGATCTGCTGACCGTAAAAAATCATTAATGGTCATTTCTGAATATGGCTTGAAGACCTTAAATCAGTAAGAAGCCCCTTATGACTGAATTCCACAACGGGTGATATTTTAAACACAAGCTGCCATGGTTACGGGTAACTTTTAATTACTCTCCAAGGGAAAGAAAAATAATACATTAAAGCAAAAAGTTAAGATTTCTTAAAATTTCTAGGAAGGTTTCAGTGGGGAAAAATTGTTCAAGGGATTAAAGCAAGGAACATGGGAAAAGCGTTGTGTAACTGAAAGCATTTGCATTGACCTGTGGAAGTTTCTTTTCTGATGTCCTGAAATACTATCCGCTCCCTTGCTAAAGCACGTTTGGTGTAGGCTTAGCAATAAGGATCAAGGTATAAGGAAGACGAACATACACCACATTGCAATCCCTGGGTTAGATTCTCTTCCCACCCCCAGAGGCGTGTTTGTTTTACAGATCCAATAAATATTTTTATTATACCCACAAGGATCTATATTTTGAGCAATGATTCCAAAATGTGTACTCTCGAGGGGTTCCTGACCAGCAGGCGCACGCAAACCCTGGGGGTGAGGCAACAGTGTTCAATTGCAGCAGGAACCACTAGAGAGTCTGACCAAGCATGACTATTTATTGTAAAGCAAGCACAAACTCATACGGACTAAGAAAGGGGAAGACAGAGGGTATGTCCCAACACTCTTCCCTCCAACAATGACAATGTAATTTGCTGTAAGGCACGTCCATGTCTAGACCCTCCAGTCAGGTTATGTGTCACCTGGAACGCACAGCTGCAGGTAGGCTGTGAGTCATATGTACCAGGCAGGCAGGTAATGTGGGCTGCACCTGACTTCTTAAAGTTGTTTATCAAGGAAGTCCCAGTACAGCTTATCCAAGGACAGAGAAGAGAGACTGGGGTGCAACCCACTGCTCTTGCCAGTCTGACCAGTAAACAGGCCAAGCTGAGGTCTTGGTAATCCAAAACCGTGGTCAGGAATTACGCCGCGGACACTGTGCTGCATGCTGTGATCTCCCATGTAGGGCAAGCAGGCAGAGCTCCACCAGAAATCTTCCACAGTGGACAAGTTTCCAGACAAGGCAAACTTAATTGCATCAAGGAAAACATTCACTCAAAGTCTACCAGGGTTATCAAGCATAGTTTTAGGAGAAATTACTTGGGCCCATCATCTTACTGAGAGATAAGTAGCTAAGTAAATATTCTCAACAGTGTGGCATATGCAATAACTGACATTTATGTGACATTCTTCTGTTGCCTAACACTGAGGATGGAAGAGCAAGATCAAAGGACACATTCGAAGACGTAAGAGACAGTGAAAGAAACAAACAACTTTTGTGAAATACATAAAGAGGTTCTTGATGAATCATGGAGATTTCAATTTTTCTTTGTCTATAATGCATAATGGTAAGTAGTAAATTTTGGAGGAAAGCAAACTACTACACAAACAGTGAAGGAGCAGACCAAAGACTCATTCACCCTTCCGATGCGGCGGATCTTTTGAATACCATCTCAGGAAAGTCACAGCATTATCTCAGACGGCACAAGTACGTAATCAAACTTACAGTGTGAATAAAATAGTTACATTAAGATGTTCAGAGTGAATTGAAGCAGTCCAGGATAGAAGCAAGGTGAAAATTAGGAACTGTTGGAACAGTCTCAGAGATTTCATCATCGGAACAAAGGAAATGGCAGGGAAGATTCAGCAGGGACTGAAGCTGAAGGAGGAAAAGTAAACAGTCAATTCTGTTTTATCCAGTTTGAAGTAATGAAACTTTCTAACTTCAGTGACAGGATTGGTGATGGTTCATTTTCTGACACAGTAATAAAGGAAAGAAACTTGGTTCTGGAGGAAGTATATATACTTTAATTTTGGACATATTGAATTTGTGGCAACCGTGGGACACACAGGAAAACGTGGTCATGAACAACTTAGAGTTTGGGAACATAATTTCAAGGGAGCAAGCTATTTTGTGCATTGGATTACATTTTAATGTCTTCATTTTTTTCCTCTAAGTATTAGAAATACATTAATTATTACAAAACTGAGATACCAATATATAGAAAGCAAATATTATAATAGAAACTGATTGTATTTTAAACAAACTGTTTTTAAGCTACTCTTTTTAACCAATGGTTATCAATAACACTTTATATCTTTGAATTTTATTTCTTTTGATTTTACTTAAAAGGTAAAGGGACAGAGATGGAAAGAAAAGGAGAGAGAGAGACAGGGAAGAGAGAGAAACTTCTCTTAGTCGCTGATTCACTCCCCAGATGCCTATGGCAGACTCGGGACGAAGTCCGGGAAAAGCTAGGGCCTGCAGCTAGATTGAAGGTTCATGCATCAGTGTTTTTGTTATCATTATCACTTAGTTTCACCCAAAGTGTGTATTAAGGGAAAGCTAAAACTAGAAGTAGAGCAGGTACTGAATCTAGGTACTTTGATATGTGAAAAAGGTTCCTAGGCAGAATATGAATTTTTTTTGCCAAATATCCTTCCCGCAAACTTGAATTTAAATAATGAAATTCACAGAAGTAAGGTAAAGTTTAAGTTCTCACTATTTAAAGGTTTTGTACTTTAAAAGGAGCTAATTGTCTAGCATCTGTCAACTTTCATTCTAGCAGAAGAACATACAGAATAACACCTGTGCTCAATATTGGGTGCATCTTGTCGTATCAAACAAGTTACTAGACTGTGATGGGTATAGTGTGTTCAAACACCAAAGTGGGATCAGTGTATCTTGTATTGAATTGGCAGTTTGAGTCTTGACTGATCTGCATCCGCTTTAGCTAATGTGGTTGGCAAGCAACAGATGGCAGCTCCAATACTTTGAGTCTTTGCCACACCTGGTCCAGCTGGACAAATTTCCTGATGCCTAACTTTCATCCCAGCTTACCACTGGCTCCTAACATCACTAGTGGGGAGTGAACCAGAGGGTGAAAGGTCCTTCCCCCAGTCTATCTTTCTCTGTAAATCTGCCTTTTCAATAAAAATACATAAATCTTAAAAACAAAACCAAACAAACAAACAAAAAAAGAAAGAAAGAAAGGAAAAGCACAAACTTATGGCCAGCACTACAGTGCAGTAGGCTAAGTCTCTGTCTGCAATGCTAGCTTCCAATATAGGCACCAGTTCATGCCCTGGTTGCTTTGTTATCAATCCAACTCACAGCTTAAGACCTAGGAGACCAGCAGATCACAGCTCAATTCCTTGGGACCCTGTACCCACATGCAATACCCAGAAGAAGCGCTTGGTTCCTGGCTTCAAATTG